ATTTCTTCTGCCATATTGTGTTCATTAGCAGTAAGTCAGTAAATCCAGGTTACACTCAAGAAGAAAGGATTACACAGATGTAAATCCAGGAGATGGGGTCACCGAGGGCAATTTTGCAGGTTGCCTACCACAAACCATATGCAAGGTATATTAAATATGCATTGATATTTCAGCTTAGTATTTTGCTTTTTTACTTTTATCCGTCTTTGCTGGTACTGGTTTTATCTTCCCTTTACCCACTTATTAAATTTCCTTTCCTCTGAATAAATAAGACTCATTTAGATCCACTTAAATATAATGAATTATCTGCTGATTATAACAATCACTTCACTTTCACAAAAGAGAAGAGTAAGGTTCAAAGAATGTGCTATCCAAAGTCAGACATATTTTAAACAAGGTGTTTCTTGGTTCCAGTGACCATGTTCCATATATCTTCTACTTGTTAAGGGACAAATTAGCCCTTTAAAACCATGTAGTCCCTTAACTATAAACAAATGATGTAGTCTCCCTGAATCTTCATTTTCTCATCTGTGAAATGAGGAAGACAGGCATAAAAATATTCACAAGAGAGGGACTTCCAACTTTGGCTATGAAGAGTTTGGTGAATCCTTTCCAAACCAAAAACAAACAAAACAAAACAAAACAAAACATATAAATTACCAGGAAAAATTACCCCAAACTAATTTGGGCTTTGGAAATTGACCAAAGGCAGACAACGAATTGAGACACATTTATTCACAGGAAAACTACTAGAACCTCAGGTAAGAAGAGTGGAAGTCTACACCACTCCTTCACGAGGCCCCTACTGTGCCCCCTACTCCAGTACCTTTGGCAAAAATCAAGAGTTTGGAAAATCAGCAGTCTTAGGGTAACTTAGTTTGGGGCAATGAGTAACAACTTGTATTTGTCCACTAAAAGTGATGAGCTTGGTAGGAAAAAAATTGGGAAAATCCACATATTTGCAGGTCTCAAGATTGTGGTGCCATTTGGGATGAGTGTGGAACCAGCCAACAATTTAATAGGCAGACCTTGGAAATGAGAGAACTGTAAAGGGATAATAAGCTCTTCACATATCCTTGGCTTACTGTGAAACTATGTACATGGACGGGGAAGACTTGAGAGTATCCAGCAGAAGGCAAAAGCCAAAGCAGACTTGAGAATTGGCTAAGCCTTGAATGTGCTGTCTCCATCACATGCTCAGGTTAAAGAGCCAGGCCTAAGATGTTTGAGCATATCTTTACCCAAATAACTAGCTGAAAACTAAGCAATTTAGATACAAGTTGACCTCTCTAGGAAGCGAGGCTAAAGAAATGTGGATAAGAATTAAAACTTGAGCAGAGACATCCAAACTGCAGGGAACTCAGATCCTACTGTTTAAGGCCAGGGGGATTAAGGTTTAAAAAAAAAATTTG